CCTGTCAAAGTTTCTCCCGGGTAAGTTACTAAATCGAGAACCAGGAAAGCTAGAAAGCTGAAATTTTAAACGGATGCTTCCTGGCAGTCCTGGCGGCCAGTCTCAGTTCTTTTAGCTAGAAGCATTTGCTGAAAAAACTGGTGCCAGTAGAAAAAAAAAAAACTGCGGAGAACCGTGCAAAAAACGCATCTTCACACCGACTGCTAGTGCGTTGGCCAATTATTTAATGCGCAGCAAGAAACTCGATGCGGCGATGAATATGAAATGTAGGAAAGAAGGGTGGCTACTAGATCTTGACTGCACTGCGCAAAATGCACTGCTCTGTGGAGGGAGAGCACTCGTTGGCGCTCATCGTTCGTGCCTCATTTCAGCGATGGCGACTACGGATGAGCGTAAGCTGGAACTGGAGCGCAGGAAGCAGAGGCTGGTTGCTCTGCGTGAGGAGAAGAGACGTCGTGAGGATGAGCGACGTCGAATGCTGCTCAATAATGCGGCCGTCGAAAATGGAGCCGGTAAGCAGAGCATCAGCCTTGTTGTGCACCGTTTTTCTTTCATTTTTGCTTTCAGTGGACAAGTCGCTGAAGACGTTGTCGCAGAAATATCTCGATGAGCTTCTGGAGCCGCTTGGCATACCATCGCTGCCGCTCGCTGACAGCGCCGACAAAGCACCGGGCGGGGACAGTCACTGCACTCTGGTAATAACTGTTCTTTCACGCGAAACAACACCACACGCCTCTTCTCCTTCTCCACTTCCCGGATCCCCTGCCATTTTTGGCGGCTGTCGTACTTCTTCGTCTGCCCCATTTCATTTCAGGCGGCCGAAATTGCTGTTTCGTCGAACTCAGATTTTTTCAGCTGCGAAATGAGTGTAAGAAAATGCGCCAGATTCGCTAACTGGTTTGCCACTGATTCGCTAAGGCATGCGAATAAGCTGGCTGAACTGTTGAACATTGGAAAGGCTGCGCTAAAGCAGTGCGCTTAACTTTGAGTGGCATGGGGAATGCGTTTTAGAAATAACATTTGCAAGCACTAATAAAAAGGAGGCTTCTCTCCCAAACTCATATGCAGCTAGCGCTATGCGATGTCATGTCGAGGACAGCATTGGTGAAGCAAAGTACTGCATATTGCGAAAAAAAAAATGCATTTCCAGGCTGTTAATTGAAGGATATTGGACGGGGCAGATCGGCGTAGTAGGTCTCCAGAGGTCGATGATGAGATGACAAAGCGGTTTTTGGTCCGGAACTAAGTACATGGTGCCAGTGTCTAATTGCAGAATGCGTGCTGATGGACCCTCGGCTGGCGCAGTTTTCATAGCTCCGTCTTTACTGTCGGATCGAAAAGACCCTGCCCTCTTCTCCAGTACCATTGTACTGAAGGCATTGGCATACGGATGCGGACACGTAATCAGCGCAAAAATGCTAGCTGTGAAGAAAAGAACAGTGCATGAAATATGCCTGTTCATGACCATAGAGGCACTCTTTCAAATAAGCAACGTGCTCGAATAAATGGTAAGCATGTTGCTTGATGGCGGTTGAGTGGCAAGTAGCACAGGTGAGGAATAATTCATCCATAGCAGCCTCAGAAAAAATGGCGCAAATAAGTCCAGGAGTTGAGTGGAAATGCCCAGCACAGGGACGACGGACTTGGCGTAGCTACCACCGACATCTTAGGAGTGTTACTACTAATCTCCGTACTGTTTTTTTGCAATGCTCTTCATATTTTTGGCCGACATTCATAGCACTGTTATTGCATGCAGTGTTTGTTTTGTAGGATGGCGTAATATCCAACCAACGGTATCCATCAGTTCCCAGGATAATACGAAATCTGCAACTATGCGAGACGCAAATAACATCAGTGATTCCCAAAGATGCTGTACGTTGATGGCAGTCAATCGTTGGTTGTTTGGGCCACTCTCTTCGAGGAATTTTGGTGTTGTTATTGTGTAATTCTAAAAAATTGTGGAATGTTTGGTTGCGTTTTCAGGCAAGTTACTGTAAAACAACTCAAACGGATGATGAGCGCGTCTACACGAGCGAATTCAGTCTTGGTTCTCAGGAATTCGACTACGATGAAGAAATGCCGATGTTGGACAAGCATTTGGATATCAATTTTGACGAGTCGCCAAGCCGTGAAATCGCAAATATCCTTCCCAACTTTAGTTTCAGCTCACGCCAGCAGCCGGAGGTGGAGATCTTCGTTTTTCAGATATATGTGTTGCTGAAGATAATGTGAAGTGTGTTCCCCGAAGTAACGTCAGGAACTCTTTCAGAATACTTTTGAGGAAAAAACTGATGAGGAAGCGAAGTTCCCAGATCTTAGCGAAGAGGAGAAACTTCAGATACTCAGCAGCTCGAAATTTTATCAGTTTTTCGATTACTCGTCGCGCGTTATGGAACGAGAGATTGCTGAAGAGGTTGTTCTTCGTGTGGTCTACTTCATTTAGCTGCTTTCCATGCGAATGTTCCAAAAAAAATTGCATTCATACAATTCTTTGCAAATTTTCGTCTTGAAAAGCACATTGCTTTCGACCCGTGCCTTCTTCAGGTGAACCGGTTCTGATCTTATTCTTCCTAGGGCCTTGGGGATTTACAGCTTCTATTGGGTTCCGTTTTTTGCTCTGTTTGTGTTCTCTTCATTTAAAGGGTTTTTTTCCGCTGCACTGCATATTTTTTCTATTTTGCTTTCGAATTCCAAATTTTTACCACTGCTCCGTGCCCGTTTGCTCATAATGCTGCGCAGTCTCGCAACACTGTGCATTTTCTGGATTCGCTGATATAACGCTGGTTCATATTGCTCGGTGCTGCTTGCATAAGGTATACAGATGTTATCATATATATGAAATTTTTGACGCGATTATTTACATATCTTTAAATTTATAATTTTTTTTTTACGGAAGCTAACGCAGCACTAACAATTGAAAGTTTCCGGATTTCTGTTTGGCATGCGGTTTGTTCCTTATGCATCCTGTTCCCAATTTTATTATTCTTTAAATTTGTCTTCCTTTAACAGCGCCATAGCTGTCGTACAGGCTTGTGCTGCTGAACAGAAATGTCTACAATTTAATGGACCAGGACATTCCTGCTTATCAAAATGCTTAATATAACCCTATATGTCTTCTGCACATTGCTCGGCTTTGTGCTTGTTGTGCAAGTTTCTTTCTTTTTTTTTTTCTGCGGTAGGGTCAGATTCTGCACTGGTATTTCACGGGCAAACTCGCTAATGTGTGCCGTTTCTCTTCATATCTGTGCTCTGCCATTCTTCTAGTCAAAAACTTAAATATGTTCACTTTTTAACCGGACAGTCTCTTTATAATTAAGTCATCCTATCTCCTATATTTGTGAGATACAAATGCTAAGAAAATTTTCCTCCTACGTTCAAATACTGTCTCAGCGTTTTCTCTCTCTGCTTTGTCTGGATTTTCTGTGCCTGTTAAATTTAACTCCCTCCGGCTAAATTTTCC